GCTCTGAAGGCAGGGATCTGGTCTTACTGTTCTACTCTCAGGGCCTGGAAGATTTCTGAGCACATACAGGTGCTCAGTAATACCTTTGGAATAAATCAGTGATGTCTTTAAAATCCTTCCAATGCCATACCCCCTCCAGCACAGATCCTTTGCCTGCAACATTCCCTCAGCCTGAATCTCTCTCTGTGTAGCCCCCAGCCCTTTACATTTTGATGCCTCATATTCCCCTAAAGACCTCAGCTCACTGCCACTTCCATTCATTTAGGCAATCCGTAAATCATTCAGTCAACATCAGTTGTTGGTGTAGGCACTGTTCTTAACACAGGGCATAGTGCATGAACAGAATAGACTAAGCTACTGCCCTCATGGAGCTCACAATCTAATGGGGGCAAGCGTGCACAAGTGAATGTGTATGAGTGAGTATGTGCAAGTGTGTATATGTGTGCATGTATGTACAGTCGTGTGTTAGATCACAGTAGACACAGTGCAGCCAGCTAATGCACAGTAGAGATTAAGAGCAGTGATGGTTGAGATAGGGTTGTCAAGAAGACCTTTCTGAGGAGGTGACACTTGAGTATCTGAGTATGACAAATGAAGCTATATGGGATCGAGAAAGCCCTTCCCAAGCCACCCTGCCCCAGCCAGCTCAGATGCCCCCCTTACAAGTTCCCCGTGACACCACAGGCCTGCCTTCCAGAACTTACCACAATTCTGATTCATGTGTGCTGGTGTAACCCTTTGCTGAAGGTCTGCGTCTCCCCCCAGCCAAGAATTCCGTGAGAGAGTCTGTTTATATTCTGTCCCCAGACACAGGCTGGGACATAGTAAATGCTCAATATTCTTTGTCAAATGACAAACAAATGGATAAACAAACATGGGCAATTTCCCCAAGAGAATGACCAGCAGGCTTTGACACGCTCTGTGGCCTGGGAGGTCAACCAAAATGGCTACATCAATTTATTTACAAAGTGTGTCTGCCCAACCTCTCCCATCACCAGCACCACACTCCTCCTGCCCCTTTCAAGGAGAACTGCCCTGACCCATGCTGTTGATGAGGAACTGGGGGGTCCAAGGCACTCACGTTTGACTGGAGGGAGGTGGGAGCAGATATCACCAGAGAATGCATGTGAACCACAGGGGACCATGGGCAAGATCCACCACAGAAGTCAGATTGCGGGCCTGAGGGCCTCTCTTCCTGAGGCTGTGGGGAGCTTGGATTGGTTTAATCCCACAGCATTTCAGGGCCACTTCCGGGCTCACCGCCCCCTCCCCCCCGCCCCCGCCACACACACACAACTATATTGCATCTTCTGAGGCTTCTGCTCTCCACTCTTCAGCTCAAGGTGGGATAACGCTTAATTCTTGAACCCTGTCTGATCAAGTCTCCTTGATTTCTGTCAATCTGGCTTTCCACGGCAGCTCAGTAGAAACCCTGCCCTTCAGTCAAGGGCATCCCCTTGCTCGCCAGTACCCTTTCTGTGACTTTCCTGATAACTGCCCTTGTGCATGAAATGACAGCCTTTAGCAATCCTCTGCCAGAGTCTAAAGCTGTCTTTCAAGAGAACCTCTGCCATGAAGTTCCCTGTAACACCTTGAGCTGAGTGCACTCTCGGCTTGTGTGGTGCTCCTCTTGCGGGTGGACTGAAATGCTCAAGAGGCGGTAAATGCCCAGCAATGTCTGATCCATGTTTTTTCTATCTTCCCCCCATTAGGTTGCCAATTACCTAAGGGCAGAAAGTGTGTCTTATATTATTTTGCTTGGTATACAGCAGTTGCTTACTAAGGACTTGATAGACTGATTGAAGGAAAACATCACTCTTGACCCTTAGCAATGTTTTTGTAGACTTGCTATCCATTCTTCATCCTTATAGGGTTGAAGTGCTGTGTTTTTCCACCTGGTAATTTTGTATAGTCAGAAAGTCTTTTCAAAATAAGAAGCTGTCAGACAAAGAATTTCAGTTTCACAAAACTAGAGGGTGGCAACTGTAATAAAGAAATTGGGAAATGACACCTAAGGCAGAGTTCACAAGGGATATTGGGCAGTTAGAATCAAGCTTAAAAGGAAATTAGGCTGGTTACTAAGAAGGACGAGAACACCTTGTGATACCGTGTGTGGCGGGCTGAATTATGGTCTCCCCACGACGTCTGCATCCCAATCCCCAGAACCTGTGAGTGTTACCTTATGTGGCAAAAGGGATTTTGCAGATTTGATTCAGTTGAGGCTTCTGAGATGGCGAGATGATCCTCGGTCATCCAGGTGGGACCGACATAATCATAAAGGTCCATCCATATAAGGGGCAGGCAGAAGATCAGAGTGAGTAGCTGGAGACAGGAGGACGGAAGCAGAAGGCTGGGGTGACGTAAGGCGGGGCCCACAAGCCAGGTATGCAGCCAGGCTCTGGAAGCTGGAAAAGGCCAGGGGATGGATGCTCCCCTCAAAGCCTCCAGAAGAAATCAACCCTGCCCACACCTTGACTTATCCCAGTCAGACTGATTTTAGTTCTGACTTCTAGGCTATATGAGAATAAATTTATGTTGTTTTAAGCCCCTAGAGTTGTGGGAATTGTTACAGCTCCAGGAAGAAACCAATTCACCATGAAAAGGCCATCAGTGATGAGGGGAATGTAGTCTCCTCTGGGCTCTGTCTGAGAGTGGGCCCAGAAAGTTCTGTCCTGGAAGCCATGTTCTCAGTTGCACGGCTACCACCAAAGGGCTGGGGAGATGCCAGGCCAAGTAAACTCCCCATTGATCTTCCTTTGTGAAGAAGACACATTGTGGTGGGAGCTAGAAAGCAAGGTCTAAAGAACAAGCCCGATGCCAGGAACTCACATCCTCTTTTTGGACATTCAGTCTAAAGATAGCTATATTTCCATAAATCATAACCAAGACAATCCGGGGAAGCTACCACAGTGTCTCAAGGAGCAGCTGCTTGAATGACTGGTCAGTTCACGGTGAAAAGAATCAATCAAATGAGCTGATTTTACTGAACTGACTTGTATTGTCTCAAATTTTATTTATCTCAAGACCCCATCTCAGGATTCCCTAGACAAAGCCCGGATCCCGGGGTTTATCACCAATTTCAAATATCTAAAATCATCCCAAAGACAAGCCAGCCTTCTGTTTCTGAATCGTGGAATTTTTCAGGCAGTTTGTGTATAGTCTCATTAAAGACAAAAATATACAAAACGTGAAGCAAAAGAGAAAAGCACAGCTTCATGTCCCATAAGCAGTAAATGCTAAAAAAAAAAAAAGACTCCAAACATACTCTCTGTCCTGTTTATTTTTTTCTTATCTGTAAAAGCAAAATGTACACAGAGTCTTCACCACATAATGTCAGGGTCGAATCTATGATAAACTGTAGTTTGATAAGAAGCAGGGTAAAGAGACCTTCATCCTAAAATGATCCTCAGCAGTGAATTTTCATTTGTGGGGCTTCAAAACAAGGCCACATTTGGGGAAAAGAAAGGTCTGTGGCAATGTTAACTTGGTGTGCTTTAATGCAGTTTATAAAACAAATCTCCCAAACATTTATTTTTCAGTCAAGCTTCTGGCTAGAGCGGGTTTAGGATAAGCAACAAAATGAAAGAAATCTCCCAAACATTGACACTGGCACTCAAAAAGAAAATAATAATAAAGGCAAGTATTAAAACATGTCCAGTAAATTTTCGTCTGAAATGTATTGATATAAGATTTCTAAGAATGCCACATAATTATTAGCGTATTTTTTTTTCTTCTCGTAGGAGTTATAAATACTTAGAATCAGATAGTTGGGTTCACATAGATAAAAAGTTCTTTATTAAAAAACTCAACAATAAGAATATCATTACGTGAGCCTGGCAGGAGAGCTCTGTTCTGTTCTCAGACTAGCCTTAGCCTGGAATATTCTGGACTTAATTTGGACTATTGGTTTGTCCTCGTTTGTCTCCCTCCCCTATCCCCAAGAGCACACTTGCATTCATGAGCATGCACCAACGGGTGACTTCTTTCTTTATAAGAGAATACCAGAAGAAATAGTAAGAATGAACAAAATGCAATGTATTCTCCAAACCAGTGGCTCTCAAACTCAAGCAGGCAGAAATGCAAAAAGTATGTGAGAAATGCAATTTAAAAGGTAATTCTGATTCAGATAGTTACTAAACTCACAAATCCTTTCTACTCCAAAAGAACATAAGGATGCTGGTTTTCTTTTTATTTGGGGGAGGGGAGAGACACAGCCTGCCATAAACTGGTTGCAGGGGTGTCTGTAAGGACTTTCTGGACAATAATTTGAAGAAAAGCACTGCTCATCTCCCGCCATCCCCAGCCCACCACCTGTGGGAAGTGGAGCTGGGTTTGGGGGCTGGGAGAGGTAGTGAGGTCCCAAGGCAGAGCCCTGACACACTCCTTCCCAATGCCAGGGCACTGGCCCCATCTCCAGCGTCATCCAGCAGACGTTTCTAGAACAGCGTGAGAGTGCTAGTGCAGTAGGAGCTGCTTCCTGAACTGCATTCTGCACAAAGGAAGGCACCCTCTGCTTATAACCAGAGTGTTTCTGAGCCCCATAGAGACAAGAGCTGCCTTTCTGACAACTTTGGCCCAGAGATCCAAGTGGCAGGGTCGGGGCGGGGGGGCTCATTTCCTGTATTGAGCACAATGTTAGCAGCCACTTGGACAGATGCACAGAGAACTGAAACAGGCCCCAGGGGAGGCCAGGTTAGTGAGCCCAGACACTCCCACTCAAGGCCTTGCATTCTTTCTGCTGAAAGACCAACGAGGCCGTACCTACCTGCTAGCCTGCTGTGCCAGGCGAGCCAGGCTCCAGAGTCTCCTCAGGCAGGTGCTCTGGGAGGCTGCAGGTGTGTTTGGCACTAACTGGGCACCAGCAGGCAGCGCTGATGGGCTCATGGGCTTGACTCGGTTCCAATTTCCATTTTTAACCCTTCCGAACACCATGTGCTGCGCTGAAAGCCGCCGCCTTCTCAGGGACCCAGGCTGAGTCACGCTGACTGGCCCGGAGGGAGTCAGGGCACTGTTCGCTCCCAGAGTTTCTCTCGAAGCAGCCACTGCCCTTTGGGGTTCTCGGTCTCACGGAAGTCCTCCCCCCGAGACACCAAGGGGTCCAGCGCAAAGAGCTCTGCGTCCCATTCCGTGTCTTCTCCTGAGAAGTTGAAGAGGATCTGTCTGGGGCTCCCCAGGCTGGAAGGGAGGAATGAGGCAGAGGGTTTAAGTGCGGCTTCGCTGGCTGCACAGAGAAGGGATGCTCTGATTCACTATTCCAGTGGAGACCCTCAGATGCCCCCCGATGCTGGGCCTTGCAGAGGCCAAAGCAGTGTCATCATGGGGGCTGGCCCCTGGGCTGGCCTTGAGCGGGAAGGATGGACGATGAGGGCTGGAGCCTGGTTTCAGTGTGTCCAGTATGTAGTCCATTATTATGGGAGGAAAAATGCTATTTAGAAAAGCTCCAAACCCATCAGAGTTGAATGGCTCTTGTGCAAAGAAAAACAAGTGGCTGAGCCCAGATACACCCTCTGTTGTGAAAGGGGAGGTCCCTACAGCGTGACCTGGGTTGCCCAGAGCAAGAGAGTACTTACTGCCCTGAATGAGTAGGGCCACAGGAATCGGGGGGCTAACAATGGTAACTCATCTTGGCAGAGTTGGAGCTGGAGGGAGAAAGGCCGAAAAATGGTAGCAAGGTGGCCAGGAGGGGCCCAGCCAACGAGAAGTTCTCCATCTAAGTCAGGCCAATGCCTTTCCGAGGCGGGGGCATCTGCTTAGCTTGGTGTTGGTTCCCCCTCCTCAACCCCAAACGCTCATTAAAACTTCCTAGTACACAGGTTGTCAGCGGCAGGGTGAGGGGGGTGGGGAAGCAATGAAAGAGGGGGGCACAAAGCATGCAGGCTACGAAGGCCAGAAGGGAGGGCGGGGCCGATCAGAGCCAAAGTGACAGTGAGGAGTGGTGACAGGCGTGAACCAGGCTGGAGTATAAGCTTAGACTTATACTCATACTTTTTTTTCCAAAAGAAAAAACATTTTTAACAAAGATCTCCCTCCCCCAAAATACATAAGAATAATTTTTGGCATATAGGATGGGGACTCAAGGCACCTTCAGAACCACCCCAGGAGTCTGGAGGACATGAAAACATCTTGGTTGTACTTGGTCCAAGCACTTACTCTTTTTTGCAGGCTTTGGGCTTAAATTTCAAGGTGCTGAATGCCCCTTCCACAGCCTTGGGCAAGTAAATGGGGTGCCTCTCGAGTCTTCTCTGAGTGCCAATGGTCCTGCACTCCATGGTCCTTCGAGACTGGCCGTGTGTCCTGTGCACAGCGCGTGCGGCGATGTCCTCCGAGTGCCGGCGTGGCGCCCGCAGGATCCAGTTGGAGTGCAAGCTGTGCTCCCGGGAGCTGGTGGCCACTGGAAGAAAGAAGCAGGAGTCCCGGGAAAGGAGGACTCGCCGTCAGGGAGGAGCAGGAGAGGTGGTGTGGTGACTCGGGCTGAGAACCACAACAAATGCATAGATACCACAGCGGGTTCTTAGAAAGGATGGGAAAGGCAAGCAGGGGGCATGATCTGATCTGACCCAGCAGTTATGGCTAGGGACACAGCAGAATATTGATGTGTTCATTAAAAATAAGGACACAGGTCTATGTGTACTGACTTGGAAAGATACCCATGATGTACTGCATATTGTGAAGCAAAAAGAGCAGATGACAAAATAGCAAAGAGATCCTATTTTTTGCATCCTCGGTGGATTTTGCTGTTCTTTTGCCCATGTCCTGGGTCCCTCAGGCCCGACTGTTGAGAAGAGGGCTGGCCTCTGTTAGGGACCTGCAGAGGGCTGCAGTCAGGGAGGAGGGCAAGCAGATGCCCCTCCAGGAAACAGTGAGCTTGGGGAACAGGAGTATCCTTCTGTCAAATTCCACCAAACCCAATGAGAACCTAAATTTCACAGATACAGGTGTTTTGAGGCCAGACCAGCTACAGACCACAAGGATGTAATCTTCAATCTTTCGAGCATTAAGTAAAACACTCAAGAATTATTTAGTATTGGTACCAAAAGCTGATCCCTCAGTAACAAGGGCCAGTAATCCCTGAATAAAATCGTCATCAATGATGCCAAGAAGGACAAGTCAAAGATGAAAGAAACTGATAGTCAAGTAATGGAATTTAAAAGTGGGCTGAATTCATGAAGTGGTCGAATTGCTTGCTTTCCACCAGGAGAGAGCCAGTGACACAGGTTGACGGAGAAAAGCATCAGCCCAGCCCTCAGCTCGCTCCCTCTCCCGGGACCCAGGCTGGCCTAGGCAGGCCCCCTGCTCCTCTCCTTCTCTGTGCATCATCCTCAGAGCACTGATCATGAGGGCTTCAGAGGGCCCTGTGGGCACAGGGGGGACAAAGCAGCTGAAGGGTCAGTCAGGTCCAGCAGAGAGTGCCAAACTAGCTCAGGGAGCATCAGAAGCCAAATTTTTAAATACGGTTTTTCTGCTCCTTTGTCTTCTTTAAAAAAAAAAAAAAATGTAAAATACACATAACATAAAATTTACCATCTGAGTCATCTTTTAGTGCACAGTTCAGGAGTACAGAATATGTCCCCACTGGTGAGTGACAGCTCTCCAGGACTTCTTCATCTTGCAAGACTGAAATTCTGACCTCACAGCCATATAGCACCAGACCCCCCTCTAATCCCTTTCTTTAGTGCTTTGCCTCAGCTTTGGCCAGTGGACAACAGGAAGGAGTTTTTGTCTGGATATGGCTGTGAATGTTGTCAGGTGGTAGCTGCAGGGACACCTAAAGCCAAGGGCCCCCGAGGAGAAGAGCAAGCCATGGGCGGGGCTCCGGAGTGTGGATGCGAGTTTCCCTTTACTCCAAGGTGGGGTTCCTGATAACTCATCAGACAGCCCACTCCAGAGACCGCCACCCACCCTCCTCCTGCCCCCTGGCGGGGAGAGCACTCACCATCAAAGTCCACATCCTCATTTGGAGGCTCTGCCTCAGCAGCCTGGGGCCGCTTCTCTGTATCCAGCTCCGCAATGATGGAATCAAAGAAGGCCATGGCCTCGGCCACATCTGCGCTGAACTGGGAGCATTTCTTTGGGGTTGCTTTCTGCTAGAGGTGAAGGGCAGGAGAGGGATTTACCTGAGCCAGCCTCAGAGCACCCACACACAAGCAAGCCACCACCACCAAAAAGAACGCAGCACTGCTGAAACTAAATGCATGTGAAGTTACGAATTTGCAGAGTTTAAAAAGTAAATTTAAATAAGTGCCCTGGGGAAGGAGGGCGGATGCTCCGGACCCACAATTGCTGTAGGTCAATGGATTTCTAATTGTCTCAAGGAGAGACAAATAAATAATAAGATCTACGTTCTTAAGAGACTGTTTTGACCTTTAGGCAAAATACTTAGTCTTCCTTTGGCCTTTTTCCCTGCGGGTAAACACCCAGTGAGGTGATCGTACAGCTCCCTCGGTAGGCAGTGAGGGGCTCACGGCAGGAAATAAAGGACGGGCTAGACTAGAAATGCTCTGAAAGAGCTGTCAGGACCCAAAGTGGCCGAACTTGAGCTCAAGTCGTGGAATAAATTGAAGAAAAATTAGTATGATTGAAAAGTATAAGGCATAAGAAAATACGGAGTTAAAAAAAAAAAAAAAAAGTCTGCCGAGTGCCTAACCAGGTTGCAGGCTCTGTCCTGATCTATTCTTCTTCATGATCTCATTCCTCACCACCATCGTCACAACCTCCCACCAGTGGTCTCGGGGGGCTGAAGGGGAAGTTCAAGCACTGTGGTGGACCTCCATGGAGAACTCACAACGAAAGGCACAGAATCAATGTGTGTTGAAGAAGACACAAAGAAATGGGAAAGCGTTCCATGCTCATGGATTGGAAGAACAAATATTGTGAAGATGTCAGTGCTACCTAGAGCCATCTACACATTTAATGCAATCCCCATCAAAATACCATCCACTTTTTTCAAAGCAATGGAACAAATAATCCTAAAATTTGTATGGAACCAGAAAAGACACCATATAGCCAGAGGAATATTGAAAAAGAAAAGCAAAGCTGGTGGCATCACAATTCCGGACTTCAAGCTCAATTACAAAGCTGTCATCATCAAGACAGTATGGCACTGGCAAAAAAATAGACACATAGATCAATGGAACCGAATAGAGAGCCCAGAAATGGACCCTCAACTCTATCGTCAACTGATCTTCAACAAAGCAGGAAAGAATGTCCAATGAAAAAAGGACAATCTCTTCAACAAAAGGTGTTGGGAAAATTAGACAGCCACATGCAGAAGAATGATACTGGACCATTTTCTTATGCCACACGCAAAAAGTAGACTCAAATTGGATGAAAGACCTAAATGTGAGACAGGAATCCATCAAAATCCTTGAGGAGAACACAGGCAGCAACCTCTTCGACCTCAGCCGCAGCAACTTCTTCCTAGAAACATCGCCAAAGGCAAGGGAAGCAAGGGCAAAAATGAACTATTGGGACGTCATCAAGATAAAAAGCTTTTGCACAGCAAAGGAAACAGTCCACAAAACCAAAAGACAACACAGAATGGGAGAAGAGATTTGCAAATGACATATCAGATAAAGGGCTAGTGTCCAAAATCTATAAAGAACTTATCAAACTCAACACCCAAAGAACAAATAATCCAATCAAGAAATGGGCAGAAGACATGAACAGACATTTCTGCAAAGACATACAAATGGCCAACAGATACATGAAAAAGTGCTCAACATCACTCGGCATCAGGGACATACAAATCAAAACCTCAATGAGATACTACCTCACACCAGCCGGAATGGCTAAAATTAACAAATCAGGAAATGACATTTGTTGGCGAGGATGCGGAGAAAGGGGAACCCTCCTACACTGTTGGTGGGAATGCAAGCTGGTGCAGGCACTCTGGAAAACAGTAGGGAGGTTCCTCAAAAAGTTGAAAATAGAGCTACCCTACAATCCAGCAATTGCACTACTGGGTATTTACCCTAAAGATACAAATGTAGTGATCCGAAGGGGCACGTGCACCCCAATGTTTATAGCAGCAATGTCCACAATAGCCAAACTATGGAAGGAGCTTAGATGTCCATCAACAGATGAATGGATAAAGAAGATGTGGTGTATACACACACACACACACACACACACACAATATGGAATATTATGCAGCCATCAAAAGGAATGAAATCTTGCCATTTGCAACAATGTGGATGGAACTAGAGGGGTTTAAGCTAAGTGAAATAAATCAATCAGAAAAAGACAAGTATCATATGATCTCACTGATATGTGGAATTTGAGAAACAAGGCAGAGAATCATAGGGAAAGGGAGGGAAAAATGAAACAAGACAAAACCAGAGAGGGAGACAAACCATAAGAGACTTTTAATCTCAGGAAGCACACTGAGGGTTGCTGGAGTGGAGGGGGGTGGGAGGGATGGGGTGGCTGGGTGATAGACATTGGGGAGGGTATGTGCTATGGTGAGCACTGTGAATTGTGTAAAACTGATGAATCACAGACCTGTACCCCTGAAACAAATAATACGTTATATGTTAATAAAAAGATAAAAAAAAAAATCAATGTGTGAACACAAAAAAAGCTGTCTGAGGAATTTGGTAAATAAGAGAACTCAGGGAGGAAAAGAAGTGACAATATGCATTAACTTGGGCTGTTCTGACCCTGTGTAGAGTTATTTTATGTGAGCATTTTTATTTTATTTTTGTTTTGAGTGTAGTTGACACACCATGTTACATTCGTTTCAGGTGTACAGTGTAGTGATTTGACAAGTTTATACATTATGCTGCATTCACCCCAGTGTACCTTCCAGGTGTCCCATTACATCGCTATTTCTGTATCATTGACTGTATTCCTTATGCTGTGCTTTTTATTCCCATGACTTATTCATTCCATAATTGGAAGCCTGTATCTCCCACTCTCCTTCACCCATTTTGTCCATCTCCCCATCCCTCCCCTTTAGCAACCATCAGTTTGTTCTCTGTATTTATAGGTCTGTTTCTGCTTGTTGTTTATTCATTTGTTTTTGTTTCTTTTTTAGATTCCACTTAGGAGTGGAATCATATGGTATTTGTCTTTCTCAGTCGGACTTATTCCACTTAGCATAATACCTTCTAAGTCCATCATGTTGTCTCAAATGATACAATCTAGTCTTTTTATGGCTGTGTAATATTCGTGTGTGTGTGTGTGTGCATGTGTGGTATGTGCACGCACATCTTCCTTATCCATTTGTCTATTGATGGATACTTGGATTGCTTCCATAATTTGGTTATTGTCAATAATGCTGCAATAAACATCAGGGTGCATATATCTTTCCAAATTAGTGCTTTGTGTTCATCGGGTAAATACCCAGTTGTGGAATTATTGGGTCATATATAGTACCCCTATTTTTAACTTTTTGAGGAACCTCCATACTGTTTTCCATGGTGGCTGCGTTAATTTGCATTCCCACCAACAGTGCACAAGAGTTTCTTCTTCTTTACATCATGGCCAACACTTGCTGTTTCTTGTCTTTTTGATTCTAGCCATTCTGACAGGTGTGAGGTGATATCTCATTGTGGTTTTGATTTGCATTTCCCTAATGATGAGTGATGTTGAGTATCTTTTCATGTGTCTGTTGGCCATTGGTATATCTTCTTTGGATTGATTGGGTTTTTTGGTATTGAGTTGTATAAGTTCTTTAGACATTTTGGATATTAACCCTTTGTCAGATGTATCATTTGCAAATATCTTCTCCCATTCAGTAGGTTGCCTTTTCATTTTGTTGATGGTTTCCTTTGCTGTGCAAAAGCTTTTTATTTTGATGGCGTCCCAATAGTTTATTTTTACTTTTATTTCCTCTGCCTCAGGAGACATATCTAGAAAAATGCTGCTATAGCTGATGTCAAAGAAATTACTGCCTGTGCTTTCTTCTAGGATTTTTATGGTTTCAGATCTCACATTTAGGTCTTAAATCCATTTTGAGTTCATTTTTGTGTGTAGTGTTAAAAAGTGGTCCAGTTTCATTCGTGTGTGTGCATCCAGTTTTCCCAGCGCCATCTATCCAAGAGACTGTCTCTTCCCCATTGTGTATTCTTGCCTCCTTTGTCTTAGACTAATTGACCTTACAACCATGGGTTTATTTCTGGAGCCTCTATTCTGTTCCACTGACCTGTGTGTCTGTTTTTGTACCATATGTGGGCATTTTTAAAGGGGGATGGTATTAAAAGTGAATATTAACGTACAGGCCGGGATGTTGGGAAATAAAATGATGACATCTGTATGTACATACAAGATCTTGGTGAAATGTACGCATTTCGTACTACTAGAAAACATTTTTAAATGGAGAGGGTTTTTTTTTTTCCCTTTTATATTTGTAAGACACTTTCTTACAGAAAATTTTTAAGAAGCACAACATACACCTGAATCTTTTGTGTTAAAAGTGGAATACTATCCACATGTACTTATCCCTCCCCCTTCAAAGAGCCCACTAAAATGAAACCAGGAGGGCAGAGAGAAGAAAACCTAAGGACAAAGAGAGGAAGAGAGAGGCCATCAGTAAAAGAATTTCCAGAAGCTTCTGGCAGTTGAAAAGCAAATGAAGTGGGGGAGATATGAAAGAGCAGAGGGACCAGCCTTCTAGAACATCATGGGTTAGGGAGGCAACTAAAAGGGGTAAATTTGACTCTTGAGAACCCAAAATGCACCAGACTCGGCAACATCGGGTACACCAAGCGCTGGGAGTGGGAAGCAGGACTGCAATGGGACGGACTGGTTGGCAGTCTGTAGGAGCACAGCAGGCCAGGCCACCAGGCATCCTTCCTGCAGGCAGACGATAGGAGGGCCCACCTCTGAAGGCAGGTCACAATTCTTGTCCCTCCTGTGGTTTTTCTTAGTGGTCCCTCTGCCTTGAATGTCTCATCTGGCTGATTCCTACTCATCTATCAAGACGGGATGGGTCAGCTCATTCTCCAGTTAGACCACCCCTCTCCTAGACTGTTCTCTCCTCTAGGCTCCATGGTCTTCAGTCCCTAACCTAGTCCTCCTATGACACATATCATTTTAGAAATTTCTTTTGTGAAGCGAAAGAGAAACATAGAATGGAGAA